AAATGAGAAATAAGAATCCGGCGAGTGTGATCAGGGAGGCTCTGGCCAAAGTTCTAGTTTTCTACTATCCGTTTGCTGGCCGGCTGAAGGAAGGCCCGGCGAGGAAATTGATGGTGGATTGCACCGGCGAGGGTGTGTTGTTTATCGAGGCGGAGGCGGATGTTACGCTGAAGCAATTCGGAGATGCACTTCAGCCGCCGTTTCCTTGCTTGGAAGAGCTCCTTTATGATGTTCCTGGATATGGTGGAGTTCTCGATTCACCATTACTGTTGATTCAGGTGATAATTTATGACAAATTTTAAATTTCAGTTGCAAATTATTTTTGAACATATTTATAGGCTTCTGATTTCTTAATACAAATTTTAATCATAATGAGATAAACAAATATTCATCCATGCATTTTCGATCGATTTTTTTCTATATTGATTGGAGATTATATGTTGGCCACAATAATTTACGAAAATTATATTTGTTTGATTCAGTAAGGTTACGATCACCTTCTAGTGAAAAGGTATCGTCCGTTTCATAACATACAAGTATACAACTTTTGATTTAATATTTAATAATTTTCTTTTTCTATTAATAAATAAATACTTGATTAACAACACAAATGTTTTAAAACTAATATACCATTATAATTTGGTTATGGTCCTTGGTATTATCCTTTAAATATGTAAATCAAGATTGACACGTTTTTTTAAAACCTTACTTTTATTCACTAACATAAAAAAAATGTTTCATCATTTTAAATAGGAAGGTATTCAAATTTTCCAACCAAATAAAAACAAATTACTGAATTTACAAAACATTAAAACTTACTGTTTCATTTCTAAAAATAATGAGAAAGAAAAATTATGTACTAACCAGATGAAATTAACTACTTAATTAATAACAAAATGTAGCAATAATATATTCGTGTGCTTAAATACAAAAAACTTGTGATGGATTTCATATTTTAATCATCCATCCACTCAAATCTAAATTTTCCATCGAGTGATCTTGACTGGTGCCAATTGATCATAAAGGTAATTACACGATTAGAACCACGAAATTTCCCACATGCCCATGTTTTAAAAGGGTTTCATTTAACACAACGTTTTCTTTTCTTTTTATATCCATTAATAGGTGTTTAAAATTTTAATTGGACCTACCTATTTAAATATTGTATATTTTGTAATTAACTTTTTTAATATTCAACTTACTTGAAAGCATTTTAGCAAATCGAAGTTACCTTTCATAATTAAATTTCTTATCATTAAATAACTTTTTTCATAAACCTATATATATCTAACAATTAGTAAGAAAAAATATTTGACACATTAGTTTATAGAATATATGGATGAGAGAAATTTTAACATGAGATAGTTATGTACATATAAACAAACCCATGACTATAGGTACTCTTAACAAACCTTTTTTTGGTCTAAGCATTGATACAAAATTGTTAGGTTCTATAAAACTGTACTATTTTTTCTGCAATTATTTGAACTTTAATAGTTTATATTAGGGAGGGTTTAGCTTGTTAGGTTACAAACTGGGCCACCCCATCACTGTAATGGACCAAAATAGGACAAAAGCAGTACTTTTATGTGGGGTAAAATTGGCATCAAATATGCCCCTACTTACAATCTTATATTGTATAGTAATCATTCGCATCCACCTAATTTTTTTTTCTTTCTTTTTCACATAGGTGACACGATTATTATTCGCATCCACCTAATTTTTTTTCTTTCTTTTTTATATAGGTGACACGATTATTATGTGGGGGTTTTATCTTCGCTCTACGACTAAACCACACCATGAGCGATGCACCAGGACTCGTACAATTTATGACCGCATTAGGCGAAATGGCACAGGGTGCATCAGCACCCTCCATATTGCCTGTGTGGCAAAGGGACTTGCTTTTCGCAAGAGACCCACCACGAGTGACATGCACTCATCAAGAGTATGAAGAAGTGGAAGACACCAAGGGTACAATCATCCCACTAGATGACATGGCACATAAGTCATTCTTTTTCGGACCTGCTGAGGTGGCAGCTTTACGTAGATTCGTCCCATCACACCTAAAAAAATGTTCCACCTTTGAAGTCCTAACCGCTTGCCTCTGGCGTTGTCGTACCATCGCCCTGAACCCTGATCCTGAAGAGGAAATGCGAATTATATGCATAGTCAACGCACGCGCTAAATTCAACCCGCCACTTCCAACCGGATACTACGGAAACGGATTCGCGTTTCCGGTCGCCATTTCCAGTGCGGGAGATCTATCAAAAAAACCGTTAGGGCACGCGTTAGAGCTTGTGATGAAGGCTAAATCTGATGTCAATGAAGAGTACATGAGATCTATCGCTGATTTAATGGTTATAAAAAACCGACCCCACTTTACAGTTGTTCGAGCGTACCTTGTATCCGATGTGACACGCGCTGGATTCGATGTGGTTGACTTTGGGTGGGGGAAGGCGGCTTATGGTGGGCCTGCTAAAGGTGGAGTGGGTGCCATACCTGGTGTTGCAAGTTTTTATATACCGTTTACAAACCATAAGGGCGAATCTGGAATTGTGGTGCCTGTGGTTTTACCAAGTGCGGCAATGAAGATATTTGTTCACGAGTTAGATAACATGTTGGCGCAAGACACCAACGGTCAAGGACAGGAAGAACACAAGTTATTTGCTTTTTCCCGTTTATAAATTCAGCTTGACTACGCAACATGCCTTTAAGAGAAATTTTGGTTGAAACATGTTCTAGAAAGTGTATATGTATAATTAAGTGGTTGTATGGTTCTCTATATTTTCATGTGTTGTATGGTTTTGTTTCTAAATAATCAATCGAAATGTTATCTTTAGTTAAAAAGTCTATATCCTCCAAAACATGATCGTTATTTCGTTGAATATTATTTTTAGTTATATAACCTTCCGTTACAAACCAATGAAACAAGACAAAAGGAGAAAATGTGTAACACAAACTTGACCAATTCAAGTATGACCACAAGTTTGAACTTTGAAGTCACTAAGACGTAATGAGCCTAATTATATGTAATCTAGGATATGGAAGTTAGACTAATTATGTAAATAACAAGACAATATATGATAAACCAAAAGCCACCAAATCAAATGCTGAAATGCTATCGAAAACCTATAAAGCAATCACTTAGCAAAAAATGTTGGTTGCCCGATGAAATGGAGAATTGTGTTTGGTTCAACTAAATTCCAATAGCGACAACCGCTATTAGTAGGATAAGAAAAAAAAAAACTTTAGAATACATCAGCAAATGTCATAACGACAAAACATAGTAAATACGTACAACGTAAAGGTCATCTTCATCAACTATTTTTCATATACATGAACCCCTAACACCTTGGTCAACATGCCAAGTGTTTATGTTGGCCGCCATACTTGAACCCAAAGTCAATCAAGGAAGCATCGGGTAGCACGATCTCAGCTGGGAAGAAACACGCAGGTCTACGTTAGTTCGCGAGACCCGAACATACCATCATGCCACTATAAAAATCATATTTTCTATTCATGTATTTAGATTGTATTTATTATTATTATTTTTTTGTTACTATATATTTACGACTAATATTTGTTTGATCCGATAAAATTCAAGATAATCTTCTCGTGAAAAGTTGTCATTCTTTCTAGAAAATACAACTTTTGATCAAATATTTGCTTTAATATTAATTTTCAGGAAAATTTTCATCTATATCCATATAAACTTAAAATATTTCTTCTATATCCTTATAAACTTTAGATTACATATTATATCATTCTAAAACTATAAAATTCACATCTGTATCTAAACTCATATTTTAATTAGAATTAAACTAATTTAATATTAATTTATTTTTATCAAAATTCAAAATTCTATATGATTTACTACAATATCCTTTCCAATAAGATTAAAACATGTAATTAGGATTAGGGATCTTGACTTTGGTGTGTTTGTTTTCTTTTCAATACACATGCGCCTTTTGTTTGGTTGTATCTGTAAGACAGTGTTGTATCTGATAGAAGTCATAGAACATTTGCATATTTTCATCGTTGCTTTATCCTTATACTCTGTTAGCCTGTTTAAATTATGCCCACTGTCGATTGTTAAATGGAGCAGTTTTAGTTTTATTGGATGCTTATGAGCAAAAGGCTTTGTTTTGGTCTTTATATGGTTTCTGGTGGTTAGAAGGTCGCTTTGCTTATTTGGTTTTCCCCCTTTGACGTTTTTGCCCCTGATTTTGTCTTGTCCATGTCTGGGCAATTTCACGATCGTCCTCTCCTGTGTTTATGGAACTGTTTTCATATTTGGATGAACTCGTGTCTGGTCTTCTTATTGCTGATGGTTGCTGTTTATTTTCATAATTGTTGGTGGGAGTTTTTTCGCTACACTTTGACCATTTTACCCCTGGGGTTTTCTCTTCTTGGCTTTTGGTCTCTGATTGTATGGTTTTGTTTCTTCAAGCTAGTTGCTAGTTGCTGGTGCTGATTTGAAGATTAAAAAACAATCTAGGCAAGCTCACAATTCTATAACTTAGGGTAGATCATCTTCCAGGAATAACACTACAGTACTCGTGGTTGTTGCCCCTGTTCAATCATAACAACCTGGTGGAATTAATTGAAGTGATTCCACAATTTTATCAGAAAATTGACTATCTTACCCATGTTGCATACTTAGAATAGGAGAAGAAAACTTAACCAATGCAGAACCACAATTAATAGAAGGAAAACTAATAGAAATAAATGTAGAACAAAAAAAATGAATGAAGAACAGTGTGATGAAGAAGACGAACCTTGTTAATCGAATTTTCGAAGATCACTGATTTCTATTTCCGATGTCTGATCATTGATTTCTTTGTATAACACATCACAATTGAGTTTTTTTTGGCGAACTCGTATTGTTGATGAATAGTTATTTTCTGGCAAACGTTCGACGGATAAGGCAGTGAATAGTTATTTTTCTGCGATTAATTTGCTTTTGGTGAGTAATTTATTTTTGAGTTTAGGAATTTGATTTACAATTTAGTGATTAGAGCACAGAGGATTGTTTTTTCAAGCGAATTGTTTCCTTTAAGGAACATGCAATATTCCAAAGAAACACACTACAAAATACATATATAAATATGATTTCCACTTATTTGTTTTATAATATTAAGACAAAACTTCAAAAATATCCCAGTGGTTTTCAAAAATATCAAGTTTAATCCTTAAGTTCAAAAAACCTCACAGATAATCCTTGTGGTTTTAAAACTTTTAACATTTGGTCATTCTGGCTAACTCCGTTACCATTTAGCGTTAAGTAAGCGGTATTTTTGTTATTTCACTACATAGGGACCATTTCTGAGGTTCTATATTACTTTTTAAAAAATAAATAAATAAATAAATAAAATTTAATATACAAGGGTCCCACCTCTCTCTCTCTCTCTCTCTCTCTCTCCTCTCTCTCTCCGATTCACCAGTGTAAGAAACAACCACCAAAGATTTATCTTCTTTGACTGAAGAACACGTAACACTGCAGGGAAGAACAACGAACTGAAGAGCTCCATCTTTCCAACTTCATCCATCACAAACAGATATGTATCTTCTTTAACCTGAAAATGAAATCAAAAATCAACTTCTTACTGAGAAATTGGAGATGAAGCTAAACGAACCTGTAACTCAGGCAAAGCTAATGATTCGAATGATGCTACATCGACTCTGTATCTTCCCACAGTAGGCCATCTAATGGACTCTACACTGCCATGGAAAACTTAATTAAAACCTAATTCGACGTTGAATGATGAAAAGATATGAAGAAATGGTTACCTGGAATTGTTAATAGAAGCAAGTGGAGCAGTGCGACCATCTAACGTAACCGCCTCAAACCCTACCCTCTCGCCCTTCTTGTCTGGTCTCACCTGTTTTGTATCCCAAATTTCATGAGTAAACGAAGGCGAAAATCAAAACATATTTGAGCGATGGAAGGGTATGGAATGATAGGGCATTACGAGTGAAAAACCCTTGTATTTTCAAATTGGGATAGGAAGTTCTGAGATTCTCCAAAACCCTAGCGATCAGAGTGGTTTTACCCACGCCCTACGGAGTCGAAGGTATATAAAGGCGATTCAAAACAAATTCAGATTCAATTTGATTCATGAAGATATGGAATCAAATGATGAATGAGACATGGAATCTATACAACTTACAGGGGAGCTAGTGACGAGAAAGAATTTTATACAACTTACAGGAGGGAGGGAGAGAGAGAGAGAGAGAGAGAGAGAGAGAGAGAGAGAGAGAGAGAGAGAGAGAGAGAGACCCTTGCATATTAAATTTTATTTATTTATTTAAAAAAAAAGTAATACAAAACCTCGTAAATGGTCCCTGGGTAGTGAAATGACAAACATACCCCTTACTTAACGGCTAAATGGTAACGAAGTTAGCCGGAAGGACCAAATGTTAAAAGTTTTGAAACCACAGGGACCATCTGTGAGGCTTTTTGAACTTAAGGATTAAATTTGGTATTTTCAAAAACCACAGGGACCATTTTTTAAGTTTTGTCTACTATTAATTTACACAATTTATTTTAGTTGTATTATTTTACCATGGTATTTATTATAAATTTATTTAATTTTATTAATAATTTTATTTTTATTGCTAATATGTTAAAACAATTACATCTTAACATATTTGATACAACATAAAAAAATGTATATATTTATTAACACTAATATTGAGACATGTATTTAATAGCCCATATTCAAATGTAAATACACGTCAGGAATTAGTACGACAGGAAAGACCAAACCAAAGCTAACACCAAGGCATCAACCAAACCATATAACTCTTCACAACAGATACAGAGATAGTAATAGTGGAATCTGAGTGTCTTTGCAATTTGCAGGACAATAAATTTGTTGAAACTCCGACCAATGTACATGATTTACATTAGCTCTTGAAAACCTTTGTTGTCTCTATTGTAGTAAATTAATGCACAATCAAAAGCACCACCAAATATGTTTGTTCCTTTTGTTTACCTGATGCATTATAAATCATAATATTAAGTGCATGAAGATTAGCAATGCCACTGTTCTTTTTAGGTACATGCACTAATAACCATGCACAATACTAAAAATGATTTTTTAATGAATAGCATTAAACTTTACTCTCACTTGCAATATAACCAATGCATATTTGTTTACCATGTCTTTTTTCTTGCGGGGGTAGACAAATGCTTAACTATTATAACTAGGTCCAAATCGAAAGGAAAATATGTTGGCTTTCTTCTGCACTTAGCACTTTAAAAAAGGAAATTTAAAGTACAATGAATAATAAATAAAGGCTTATTAAACAAAAAAGTGTCTAATGTACATAGAAAAAAAAAAAAAAAAAAAAAAAAAACCCTAGGTGAAAAGTAGACAGTTGCTGAAAATCTGAAAAAGTTCCGGAACAATAGATCATCAAGCCAATCCAAACTATCAAAAAATTATTTCCCCAAAACGTTTTTGTTTGAATGCCATCAAGTTATCAAATTTTAAAAAAAAATTAAGTTCTTAAAAATGGTGGTAGCAAAGTATATTACTATTGAGCAGGTTCAGAATCTCAGCATATCTATTATCTCTTTTAAAAATAAAAAAATCTTTGGTTTTTTTTTTTTTTTTTTTCTTTTCTTATCTGATTTATCTCAAAGTACATTGTTATTTATTGCAATTAGCTCGAAATGGGGTAAATGAAAAAAAAAAACACATTATGCTATGTAGGTATGTATCACACCCCGACTGGCGGCGGAAACGCCGGACTGTCCGACGTTAGGATGTTGGATCATAGATTATTGAACAACACAAAACAATATATAACATAAATATCACTTCCTTTATAGATAAAAATATTACATCAGAATGTGTTTCTCAAATACTAGAATTTCTAATACAAAACGTGTCTTGACAGTTAGACATAATTATAAACGATAATAGACTTCTAGGAGCAACATCGATCAACCGTCACTACAAATAAAATGACATTTAATGGCACAAAAAAAGTGCCACTAAATACGAAAAAAATACCACTAAAAACTCACTTTGTAATCTGCGGCACAAAAATAAAATGTCACTAAAAGCGTTCCCACTAAAAATCTTTAGTGACATTTTTTTGTTGTGCCGTTACGGGTTTTAGTGGCACTTTCGATTATGTCACTATAACATTTTTAGTTTTAGTGGCACTTTTTTATGCCACTAATACATATGTTAAATTAAATCATTTTCCTACTTTTTAGGGGCACATGCTCTATATATATATATATATATATAAATTAGGTTCAATTACTTTTTTAATTTAATTGAACTAATAAAAATACAACTAAGATTATAAATGGACATACCAATATCATTATTTGAAACAAAAGTTAACTAACAAACAATAATATATAAAATAATTACAATTTCGATATAAGAATCGAGTAAAAGGTTTCCTTTCTTATAATGCATTAGATGTTTGTACTTTCTACAAAAACTCGCATATGCTATTCTTCAAATAAGTTGCTCACTTGTCTTTCTTTCATGATCTTTTCATATAATTGTTGTTGAAGGTTAGAAACTTCTTCCTGTAAACAAACTATAACTTTAGCAACTTCAACTTCAAGTTATAACTTATTAAAAGCTAAATAAGAAAATTAATACAATATATCATTACATAGCACATCAAAGTAGATGGGTTCATTTTAATGTTTATATACACAACAATATTAACCAACGATTAGCATATAACAAAATAATATTATAACTAACAAATACATTTTGACAAAAATGCAAGTTAAGATGAAAAAATAAAATAAGAAATTAATGACGAATAGATAGATTTAATATTTTTAAACTTAAATCATATTATCTAATGATAAATTTCTTTATTTTGTGTTGTATACTTTTAGTAATTTATATTCTATAATCACGTTTGGTTCTTTTGGTTATAAGCATACTAACAAATAAAAAAGAATTTTGTGTAGTGAAATAAAAGTTGTATTTGCTTCTTAATCACTAATGACTCATTAAGCACAAATTAATTATTTTAATATTTTGCTTTTGCAGCCATACTTTAGCCTCTTCAATACGGTATATGGTCACATCTTAGACTATTGACAGTAAATGATCATTTTGCCCTTCTAACACTCTAATAAGTAATTTTCACATTATGAGGGCCTTGATATAAAATCAAATTAAAGGTTAAAAATATTATGATTACCTTGACTTCCTTGAGCCACAGTTGCTTTAAATATGAATCACCAAGAGCAATTGAAACCATAAGTGCACCATGAACGTTTTGCAATTGACTTTTCACAGCTTTACAACATGGCTGAAAAGTTGTTGCAAGTTGTGATCCATAGCTTGCTTTTCATCTTCACATACTAAAATAAAACAATCAGAGACAAAAAGTAAACTAAATTATAGAAAGCATCAAAGTAGCATTTAAAGTATAAACTGTTTTCCAACACACCTTCTCATTGACCAAGTCAGAGATGGCAATGACTTGATTCTTGCCATGCTGTCAATTGATGGTTGTTCTAAAGCATCAACTATATCAACCGATCCATGAGATGTTCCAGAGGGTGCAGAGCATTGACTTTCAAAGCTCCCGGTCAACCGGATTTTACTAGAGGTCCCACCAATGATGGGCAAAGGTACACTAGGTGTTGAATGAATGTTTTAAATGCTTTTTGGCTCACTTTACTAACACTTGCTACAAATGAAGTATCCCCTAGTGGACCAGATACCAAAAAATAATCCTGATCAATCAATTCCAACGAGTCCACAATTGTACAAATCAAGATAAATTCAATAGCTTACTTTCATGATGATGTAAGAAAGATGAATAGTTTAACATTTAACAATGGAAATATATGGAAAACGTACCTTTGGAACGGATATATATGGGTCTGGGATCGATTAATCTCAAAGATTCTTTCAGATTCTGTTATGATGATTTACGATTTCCAGGTTCAAATACGTTATTTACCAAAAGTCACCACCCAAGAACATTTGTTCTTTCTCATTAAGGAATTTCATCGAACACTTAGTGTTCGACTAATAAAGTAGGAAATAATAAAAACTTTGAACAGTGGTGGATGATGCAAATGTAATAAGCAATGAACTGAAACTAATTGGCTACCTAATTTTCAATCAGTTCTCAGTTTGATTATAAAAATGAGCTAATTTTGACAACAAAATTTGGTAACACGTTAATCTATGTGCCTCTTGTTGACTTATTTTGATAATAAATTTAGGTTTAGATTTAATTGCTTAAATAAAATTAACAAGAGAGAGAGTATTCTAGCATTCAAGTCAACCTCCTAAACTTAATCGACATGTTAATTTGTATAGTATCAACAATTTTGGTTAATTCAAAGCTAACAATCAGATAGATAATCAAATTCCAAGTGAGATGTAAACAAAATTTACCAAAAATACAAAAAAAAAATCTCCTACAAACAAAATTGATCGAAAATACAAGAAAACCTACTACAAGAAAAATTAGTTTCTTATAATCGTCATTCTTAAAATCGAAATTACGGATTTGTACCTTGATGTCTGGGAAGACGAGAGCGTCTACAACGCCGACAAGGAGCATGGCTGACGAGGGGATAGGGCAGACGAGAGACGAACTGAGATGAGAGATTCTCGAACTCCCTAAATTTTTTGCTATCTTCAAAAAATTTCAGTGAGGGAACATGTTTTTTTTCCCTCTTTAAAACTTTAGGGACGTAAATACGGGAAAGAGGGGGGAACGAACTTATTATGCCATTAAAAGAAAAAAATTTAGTGGCATATAATATATAATAAATTGTATGATTCAAAATAAAAAATAAATTAATGGCACTTTATATTATTATGCCACAATTAAAAATGAATATTAGTGGCATAAAATAATAAGTGTCATTCAAAAATTTAAAAATTTATTACTGGCATATAAGATATGTCACTAAAAAGTCATATAGTGGCACAAACTTATTATGCCATAAAAAGTGTATGCCACTAAATGACATTTTGTTTGTAGTGCGCTGCTTCCCGAAGTGCAATCTTCCATCTCTCAGATTCCTAGGAATACATGTGATTTTGAAAACGTCAACATAATGTTGGTGAGTTTACAAAATTTTAATTTGAAGATACCTTTTTATACATAACTTTGTTAAATTGTAAAAGTATTTTGATGAACAAAGTATGGTCGCAGTTGCTCTGTTTGTACCCAAAAGTTGTCATTGATTTCGAGAATCTTCCAAACCAAGCTCTTGGAGATTTCTTCAACCCGTATAATGATTTCCTCAATTTACACACCTTATCAACATTACTTGGGTTGGTTTTTACACCCGGAGGGATATCCATGTATTCTTCTAAGTTTCCATTCAAGAATGCATTTTTCACATCAAGTTGATGCAATGGCCAATCTTTATTTGCTGCTAGAGAGATGAGAATTCGGATGGTGTTGATTTTAGCTACCGGTGCAAATGTCTCTTTATAATCGATTCCATGGCGTTGTCTGTATCCCTTAGCAACGAGCCTTGCTTTGTATTTGTCAATCTTTCGGTCTGCATTAAGTTTTAAGGTGAATATCCACCGACAACCCACCGTTTTCGTTCCAGTCGGCTTCTCTACAATTTCCCAAGTCACGTTCTTTTGAAGATCCTCTAATTCTTCATTTGTTGCCTTCTTCCGTTTTGGATCTTTTAATGCATCCTACACATTATTAGGAATAGATACAATAGATAATTGATTAATGACAAGTGCATGCGATTCAGAGATCATGTGGTTGGATATAAAGTTAGCTATGGGGTATTTTGATTTAGATTTGAAGTCTGGTTCATGCTGTTTTTTGGGAACTCCTTTTGTGATTCTTTCAGAGATTCAAGGTTCATGGTTCTCTGTTACATGGGTTAAAGGAACCTGTGGAGGATCGATTATGTCATTTTTTTCAGGTTCTGGTGTAGGGGAAGAAATATTTTGAATTTCAGGGTTGAATTGACTAGTGGGTTCAGTTTCGTGATGAACGGATTCACCTGGATCTGTTGTGTTACTTATCTGTTCGCTCAGGTAATTTATTTCTTGGGGGTATCATTGATCGTATTGCTGTGTTGAGGATTTGTTCTTCCAAGTTCTCTACTTCCTTAACAACATCAAACAACATATGAGAATTATGATTTCCTTCACCGTTACTCTCCCCCTGAAGGAAAGACTCAGAAACTCCCCTGTGTAGTAGGGTTCAGATACACGAAAAGATAAATCAAGAGATATGTGCATCTGTTTAGTGTGTGGGTCATAAAATCTATACCTTTTTGGAACTCTACATAACCAACAAAAATGCATTTCTTCACACGTGGATCAAGTTTTCCGCGTTGTTGTTTTGGGATGTGAACAAAGGTTGTGCATCCAAGTACTCGATGTTCTAAGTTTGGCATAGAAGGAACAACCAACAATTGATGAAGTTTCTGGTATGGATTTTGAAACTCGATTACTCGTGAGGGTGTGATTAAGAACATATGTTGTTGATTGAACCGCTTCACCCCAATATGATTTGGGGACATTCATGCCAAACAAGAAAGCACATACTGCGAGACCATTATGTTAGGGTGTAATAGAGTTTGAGGTCTGATGGTGGATCCCATTGTCATGACAAAACTCTAACATGCAACTATTCATAAGCTCTCCACCATTATTAGATTGAAAAAACTTTGATATGTTGTTGGTACTGATTTGCTACCATTTTATAAAAATCAACAAACCTGTCAAAGACCTCATTTTTCTTTTTCAATACAGCTACCTATGTCATGCAAATACAGTCATTGATAAATGTTACAAAGTATTAGGATCCAGAAAAAGAAGTAATCGTTGCAGGACCCCACACACCCGAATGAATTTTCATAAAAGGAATAAGACATTTATTATTACTTGGTAAATGTGAAACACAATGGCTTTTAGCAAGTTCAAAAATGTTACAATGAAATTCAGAATCACTTATACTTGTAAAGAAATGAGGTTGTAACTTCCGAAGTTAACCAAAAGATAGATGTTATAATCGGCGATGCCATAACCATACAATTTCTCTTGCATTCTTCACTCCTTTGATTTGATTAGCATAACCTAAACCTTTGCATTTTTCTCTAGTATCTGTTATACATTTCCCTTTTCTAACACCATAACCAAGAGTCTGACGAGTTAGAATGTCCTGAAATACACAGAAACATGGATGAAATGTCATTGTACATGCAAGTTCGAGGACAATTTGACTGACAGATAGGAGGTTATATGAGAGGGATGGAACCAAATGGAAGGAGTCTAGTGTTAAGGAATCAAATAACACTACCGGGCCTTCACCATTGACCTTAGATATTGAACCATCAGCTGTTGAGACACCGTTTTGGGAAGATGTTTTAAGGTTTATTATAAGTTTTGGATCATTAGTCATATTGACAGATGCAAATGAATCAATTATCCATGTACTATTCGAAATAACATTATGATTCATACCTAAGTGTGTTATGTTTGCAATTGCATTCGGTTGTTCATCTTCAGTAGTAGCCACAACATCTCTACTCACATTCTTTCGTGGTTTCTTAGTGAAATCCCACCAATCAGGATATCCGATCACTTCATAGCATCTCTCATTGTTGTGACCTAATTCTCCGTACACATTACATTTTTTGTTAGCATAGGAGTTTGTTTTACCTGTGGGACGTTGAGTGTGAGGACTATCAAGTACAGGAGCAGACCTGCGTTGAACAGTTAACAGGAAGGCTTAAGTAGGAATTTAGCGTCCCATGGCTTGTTTTTCAGATTGAACTTTCCTAATGTATGCATAACTTTGTTCTAGTGAGAACATAAGATCCTTTTGTAGTATTTCTCCTCTTACTTGATCATATTCAGGATCAAGTCCACTCAGAAACATATGCACCTGCAACCTCGACATCATTGACGTCTCGAGAACAACTGTTGTTACATTATTGTTTTGAGAAGTCACTCTTTGATCGATCTCATGGAAAATGGCTACCAATTCATTGTAGTAGGTAGGAACATGTCGAACATTTTGTTTTGCTTCAAAACACTTTTTGTTCAATCTAAAGATTCGATTTCATCATAGAAGGTTTTCTCCACTGCATCCCAAATGTCTTTCACATTTGGGAGACGAATGTACCTATTCATAAGGGAAGTTTCCATGTAATCAATTAACCAACTTTTTACCATCTCATTTTCTGCGGCCCATGTTTCATATTCATGAAATTTCTTTGAGGGTTCAGCTATTGCACAGGTCAGGTATACAATCTTCCCTCTTGCTCCAATACGCATTCTCATGAGCGACGCCAAATGGTGTAGTTGGATTCGTCCAATGAAATGGTTTTTGGAAAAGCAGAATTATCATGTTGGGTGTAGTGGTGGTGGATGATTTGTGAGGATAATTGGTTATTTGGTTCTTGAGAGGATTGATTTTCTTTAGGGTGCATTCTTGAAAATTTCGAGTTTGGATTTCAAGGAATACAAGGGTGAATGATTCAGAATACAATTTAGGGTTTTTGTGTGAATTAGATTTGTTCTTATATCGTGAAGGCACAGAGCAATTTGGTAATTGTATATTATTTCATTCAATTGAGCAATACAAATATATGCAAGGGAGAATATGAGAGATATGGAAACATGTAAGTCCTAAATTTGCTTGATGTATCAATCAGATCCAATTGATGGTGCGGAATCCCAATCAATTGGATGATGCAAGATCAAATGGAGAAGAAGGAGAAGAAGAATAATAATAAGATGAATCTTCAATGTTTATATGATTAGAATGATACTCCAACATACAAGATCCAAAAACACACACTAGTTCTCTCTCTAGCACATGATATGAATGAATGCTCCTCTCTAGTTGTACACTCTTATGACTCCAATAACACTATATATATATATATATATATATATATATATATATATATATATATATATGGACCTAAGGCCAAGCCCAAAAAACAAGGCCTCGACCGAAAACCCATTATTTGACCGAAAACACGTTCACGGCCATAAACAGGTTCACGATCATGAACACCCATACAGCCGTAAACACTAGGTTGTTTACGGTTTTAGATTGAAAAATATATTTTCCTAGAAAAGTAAAGTATAAACCATATTTTTGACCCAACAATCTCCCCATTGGTTTATAACTTTCTTTTCTTTGACCCAACAAACTCCCCATAAGAATGTAGCTGGCTTTTCTTGTCAATCTTCATTTGGAGCTTGGCTTCAGCATTTTGTCATTTAATTCTTCACAACTTCAAGATGAACAAATGAATCTTCTAGCTGAATGAATTCATCTTGAATGATGGGCATTTCTTCAGAGTTTGGCTTTGAACAAACGTTGGGTTTGGAGGCTTCATGTAACATCCTAATTTTCGAGGCCAAAAATTTCATTTTTAAATAAATACTTTGCAACATAGTTTACCAAAACATTACCAAAGTCATGTCATTTTATAAAAACTATAAAAACATGTTCGAAAACCATCTCAACATAAGTAATATATATCAGAGTAGAATCCCAGAAACTCAATGCGGAAAACATATGTGTGTGTGTGATGCGTGGCTACACCGCCGGAT